TCAAGTAAATACCAGAATGTGCTCGTGCGTGATTTAAAAAGCTTTTAAAAGGAGGTAAACATTTCAATTCAAAAGTTGTTTTATAAGTTTGTTTAGAAAACTCTTGTTGTTTATTGTAGCGAAATCGTGGTGAAATCGGATTAGGTTTCTTTGTTTTGAATTAAGTTCTGCTGAAAGTTTGAGTAGTTTAAAAGGTAACTACTGTGATATTGCAATATTGTACGTATATCTGTGGAAATTTAAGCATTTTGTTTTATTTGTTGTGATAATAATAAATTTTATTCACTTTTCATCGAACTTTCGCATTCAATTCATTACGAAACCGTCTGCACGCAACAATATATTCATATTGATATCGAAGCTTTTCTATTATAAGATAACATTAGCCAAACATTTTCTTCAAGACTAATATATGGACCATCTTGATATTTCCAGCTAGAAAACCTGGCTTTGTCATCAGCTCATTTTGCTTAGGATAAAAGTTTTTCCCAACATAAGATATATTTCTCTTAGTTTAATTATTTCAATCAACGATTAAGAACTAGAATGACATACTTCGAAATATTTTTATTGATAGTAATTACTTACAGAAGAAGAACCCGTTATGAGATTTAATTTAATATTTAATTTAACGTTGGGGGAAAGGCAACACTACCGCTTAGAAACTCTTGAAAATTGTTTGGCGCGTGTTATTCTGCAATAAAAAAGATACTGTTATATATTATATATATATAAGATAAAATATATGTAAATAAGCTTTCTAATTTAATTTAGTAATAGCCTTTTAATTCCTCTTTTTAATTTGGTTATTTCCTCTTTATTCTAAAAATAATAATATCATTTCTGGACTGCGCCATTTCTAGATTAATCTATGCCACAAAGCTTGTGTAACGCTAATGACATATAGTTATTTTGGAACCTAAACTTTGTGAACTGAAACATTTCTAACGTAAACCAGAACCTTCCTTTTCGGTGAGCTGCCATATTGGATAAACGCGCACTTCGCTTGTATCTCTGTTGCTGCTTGGACGCCATTTTATTTCGCTGTGCTCTCTTCTTATCGCAATAATATTAAAAAATGTTATTATTCTGAAAATAGGCACGATTAGAGTGCCAAGTGAACTGTGGCCTCAGAAGTGAATTTAAATAAAAATGAAATTTAATCTGCCTCGATGGCCAAGGTTCCTATTCATTATGGTTTAGCATTCTACGCAATCAGAATTCTTCCTGTTCAATATGCCATATACGTGCTTCGCCAAACAACATTGCTACTTATTTTTCTCTTTTTTTTATCACACACACACACACACACACACACACACACACATATATATATATATATATATATATATATAATTTATTTCCTAAACAGTATTCGTTAATTGATTATATTATCTCCTAAGTTTAATTAAAGTAGAATTATCTTAAAAGAGTGAATCCATACTGGTAAGTTATATTTTGAAAGATGTTTTGAAGTAATTTAAAAGCAAAATGTTAATAATGTTCTAACGGGGACTGGAGTTAAATCATCATGAAGAATAAAATTTCAATTGTAAAAGGAAAAATTAAAAACATGTGATCATTGTCATTGATCGGAAATTAGTTGACTTTTCAAGGGGAACAAACCAACTCCCGTTCAATGAACAATAATTGATAAAAATACGTAAATACGAAAGTGTTTCGTCTTTACTCGAGTTATAAGTTAAAGCCAAACCGGCAATTCTAGTCAGGCCAAATATTTCCGCGAATAGAAGGGATTATGAACCAATGCTGATACTCAAAGAACTTATTCTTATGAAGCATTTTAGTCAATTCAATTTGGAGTAAAAAGCAATTACTGTAGAGAAATCTTAATTAACCCGAGTAACCGTCCCCGACACTTTCATGTTTATGCATTTGAGTTCTATATTATTTGTAAAAATTAAACATTGGAAATTGTCATTATGAAATCGAATTCAAAGTAAAGTTGAAATAAACATAGAAGATTACAAAATAAGATAAATAATGCAAACTTTGTATTTACAAAGTAATTTGACAATTTCATAATGACAATTTCCAATGTTTCATTTTTACAAATAATATAGAACTCAAATGCATAAACATGAAAGTGTCGGGGACGGTTACTCGGGTTAATTAAGATTTCTCTACAGTAATTGCTTTTACTCCAAATTGAATTGACTAAAATGCTTCATAAGAATAAGTTCTTTGAGTATCAGCATTGGTTCATAATCCCTTCTATTCGCGGAAATATTTCGCCTGACTAGAATTGCCGGTTTGGCTTTAACTTATAACTCGAGTAAAGACGAAACACTTTCGTATTTACGTATTTTTATCAATTATTGTTCATTGAACGGGAGTTGGTTTGTTCCCCTTGAAAAGTCAACTAATTTCCGATCAATGACAATGATTACATGTTTTTAATTTTTCCTTTTACAATTGAAATTTTATTCTTCATGATGATTTAACTCCAGTCCCCGTTAGAACATTATTAACATTTTGCTTTCAAATTACTTCAAAACATCTTTCAAAATATAACTTACTAGTATGGATTCACTCTTTTAAGATAATTCTACTTTTATTAAACTTAGGAGATAATATAATCAATTAATCAATACTGTTTAGGAAATTAATTATATATATATATATGTATACATATATATATATATGTACACATATATACATATATATGTGTGTGTGAGAGAGAGAACTATTTTGTGTAGATATTGACTTGAGGATTAGAATTAAACAGCTGCATAGATAAACGGATGACACTTTGAAGACGTGACAGACGTGGTCTTTGAAGACATAATTTTATTGCTGGATAAAGCACCAGTACAATTTTGAAAATTTACATTATCCGACAATGGTGACAAAGCAGAGCGGCAAAGCAACACGTAGAAGCAGCTGCGAGCGAAGGTGAGAAAAAAAGACTTGCGCAATAGTAGCAGTAGTATTTATAAACAAAAATTTCTTTAATCTAATTGGCTAACAGTTTACAGCTTTGCAGCATGATTACATAAACATGAAAAGGATTAGTTTTCAGATGACGCACTTTAGATTCATACATTAGAATTTTTAAGACAGAAAGGGGATATAAACAAATTAAAGTTAGTAATTTTGAGTTTCGTATTTTTTTATCTTACACACACACACTTTGATATATATATATATATATATATAACAGTATCTTTAACACGCACCTAACATTATATAATTACAAAAAGATTTTTTTAAAAAACATAATATAATCATTCCTAACAATATATATATATATATATATATATAATATATATATACATAAATTACTTCACACAAGTTTCGCACACTGAAATAATTCAAAGTCTCCGCTGCCGATTAGGAATTTCAGAAACACAACCCTTCTGAGTAAGACGCGAAGAAAACACTTTGCCCACTTCCTACTAGAAAGAACGTAAGTTAATTAATGCTTCTTCTGGCCTTTTATATCTTCATGTACATTCCCTTTTTTATTATATATATTTTAAATTTAAATTTAAATTTTTATTTTTTGATTTGTTTTTGCAAAGATTGCATTATATTTCTTATATTTCGTAATTTTCTAATGTTTATTTCAATTCATTGAGTTCTATTTCATAATGCCAATTTCCAATGTTTAATTTTTTACAAATAGTTTTTGAATTAAAACGCATAAACACGAGGGTGTCGGGGGACAATTACTCAAGAAATTTTATCAATTTTACTGCATAAATTGCTTTTCACTCAAAATTGAATTAGCGAAAATGCTTAATCAGAATGAGTGCTTTAGCACTCTGCATTGGTTCTTGGTCCCTTCAATTCACGGAAATATTTGGCCTAACTTAAATTGCCAGTTTGGCATCGCCTTATTACTTGAGTAAAGGACGAAACACCGTCGTATTTATTTCTTAATTATTGTTCATTGAACGGGAGTTGGTTTGTTCCCCTTTATTTCTTATTTCTTAATTATTGTTCATTGAACGGGAGTTGGTTTGTTCCCCTTGAAAAGTCAACTAATTTCCGATCAATGACAATGATTACTTGATTTTAATTTAATTACTTGCTTTTAATTTAATTTCTTTTTACAATTGAAATTTTGTTATTCATGATTTAATTCAAGTCCCCGTTAAACATTTTTAACAATTTACATTCAAGTTACTTTAAAACAATTTTCGGAATTAAACTTACTAACTATGGATTCACTCTTTTGACATAATTCTACTTAAATTAATCTTAGGAGATAATATAATCAAGATTTCTTTAGTAAATAAATTATGTATACATATATATTTGTAATAATAAAATTCCATAGTCAAGAATACACTTAAAATTCTAACTGTATGTTCTTTTCATTTTTAATGGCGACGTTCTCTTATTTGAAAGTACGTGGAATTAAATTCACAGCCCCGTAGTCAAGTTGTTTTTCCCGCCTTTTCTACACGTACAGTTTTAGAATGTTAAGTGTATTCTTGACTATGGAATTTTATTATTACATATATATAAGCAAACTAACAACAGTAATAAATTTATTTATGACATATCTGTAGAACAAATGGGATATAGAAAATGGCGGCACCATAAAAATGCGAGCCATGTTTTTTAATGTCTACATATTCATCGTTTGTACAAAATTCAAGGCAAATATGTAAACACCGCAGTTATGAAATGTGTGGCAACAAATAAACGTCGGAACCTGAGCGATTTCTCTACCGTGGTTTATGACTAAAATTTGAACCATATTAAAAATTGCTAAAAAGATAATAGGATGTGCAAATAAAACTAATCCGAAAGTAAGCAATTTTTTATAAGAAAGAAATGTCGCGCGTTATCATGCCCCCCCCCCTTTTTTTTTTCTTTTTGATTGCGTAAGAAAGATGCGAAGCTTTACCTCTGAGTACATGGATTCAGAAACAAATATTATATATATATATATATATATATAAAGGCAAGTGTTTCAAGCGAAGCAAAAAGAAAAAGGGGAGTGAAGAAGAGCTTTGCAGTTAGACCTTTGTCATCCTGTTCTCCTTGTCTGGCAGGGGGGAGAGGCACCGTTTGGTGTTTCTTTTTTTCTCCATGTCGTCGAAGTGCTGGACTCGATCCTTCACCTTTCCAGTTACGGTCACGATCCCCTTCTCCAGCTGCGAAAGGAAAAAAAAAGGATCTTTTTCAATTCTCATAAGACAAAATCAATGGATACTCTTCACCTTTAACATCGCAGATAAAGATCAGAGAAAGAACGACTTTCAGAAGATACTTCCCACATATTACTAGACCTAATTCGCCTTTGTTGACGTTCTGCAGCAGTGGCAGATCTGAATCTGGATGTCCCCTTCGTTAATATGCTTTAATAGCTGTGCTCTACTTTTGCAGTTGACAAAGATTATTGCATTTCCGCTTCTAAATAACCCTATAAATATTGTATTTACGAATGTGCATAAAATTCTGCATATGCTGCAATTTTCCATATTTTTAATGACATATTTGTATACAGATGTATATTAAAAAATTTTATTTACAATTTTTGATAAAATTTTTTAACTATTATTATAATTAAATTATAATATCTTAAAATTATAATTATATTTTAAAATTATTTCGAAATTATGTAAACACTCATTAGTTAACATGAAATAAGCTGACACTGGCAGAATAAACGTAATAATTTATAGTATTTTTGGTACTGAAGCCTGCCAACGCTAAAATAATATTCAGAAAACACTCATTTCTTTTTAATATCTTCTGCTCGAAAAGCTCTTTTTCTTAATTCAGACATTTTAAAACTCAACTCTGATAATTGTATGCCCACAATTTAGACTAAACCAGAAATATTGTTTTGAACATTCCCAGCGCGTTTAAAAGCGAAGGTTGAATTTATGACTTTTTACTTGAGAGCTTTGTGTCAAAGCAATCTTATGATTTACTTACCTTCACATTCTTCACTAAAGACTAAACGATTTTTAGCTTATTGCGCTGTGTTGCACAGCTCAAGATAATTTTTCGTTTTTAAGTTTGGTTTAGAAAACTGCGATACAGGCCAGTGAAACCCAAAGGAACTAAAAGCCCTAATTTATGCTGGGAGGTATTTTAGATTGATTATTTTGCGTTACTTTGATAAAGCATATTAATGATATCTGCTTAAAGGAAGGGATGCTTTTGTGGTGAACGTTCTAATGGAAACTTACTCGCATTCACAGTGAAAGAATGAAGGGAAAAAAAAAAAAAAAACATAAAGACGCGCAGGTATGCAGCCATTTTACCGGTATTTAGATCTGAGTCAAATTACCAGTTTTCAACGAAGTAATCCTATCGGCTCCAGACAGATGTTTTAGATTGAAATGTCTATAGAAATGGAAATAACTGGTGGATCAAACAATTTACTAGTGATAAAAGAAAGTATTCATATAAATCCAGACAATGACGTAACTGATCAGATATGTTATATATGTACACGGGACAACGAAAAAACTAATGTAAAGAAGAATAAAATTAATTGTTTTATTCTTTCCCACTCTGATGATACCTAAACTTCTGCTCATCCTCTGGATAATAATATCTTAAAAAGATAAGCCATACTAAGAAGAACTATGCTGTTCAGTTCTCTGATTCTACCTTCTTTTATCTTTAAAACGAGTGTAAAACACTCGCTTTGTTATAAACGAAAGGAAGGGATATTTTCAGAACCACTTCAGCTGAGAATCAAATTATAAAATTATTACTTCTGAGCCTGAATTGGGAACAAAACTGTAAACGCTGAATTAGGAACGACTTGAATCGTTGCTTAGGCCTTTTTTGAGATAGTGAATACGGAAACAAATGAAAGTCTGAAAAAAACAATTTAACGTAACAAGATCTCGATACCTGTTAGCACAAAGCTCGATGCACATCTACACAATATCTTTAAATTAGTCTAACTTGGAAATAAAATTTTGAAATTCAAGACACATTAATTTCGTTGATTTTAAATTATATTCGATTTGAAGTTTTATGATAAGCATGTAAATATAAAAGAATACTGATTATACTGATTTAAAAAAACGACAAAATAAAACGCTTCTTATTTTGAAAAACTGTCACAAATTTCGACGCAGATTGTATTACTAATATTCAGACTTTTACTTTAAGTCAGTTTGTAAAAGAACTAGTAAACTACTCCATTATTATGTAATTAATACTCATAAAATTTTTCAGAATAACAAATGCTATTGTACAACTGATATCACATTACAGAAAATGATTTGCCGGTCACAGATTACGATTACGATTACTTAAGTCACAGCTTACGATTTTGCTCCTATTTCCTGCAGTAACCTGTATATTAACACTTTAAATTTTGATACATTTTCTTAATGCATGTTTTACACTAAATTTCCCAAATTATTTTCCTTTTTTTCTTTAAAAGTGATAATTTATACTTTTCTCTTTAAAGCGATAACTTATACTTTTTCTCTTTTAATTTCATAAAACGAAGGAAAACGTTAGATTTAAGAATAATAATAAAGATCATAATTATATTTCAAACCAACAAAAAAAATTAATTCAATATGAATAATGTTAAATATAATAGTTAAATGAAATGAATAATAATATATTTAACTAGCCATGCAAATTACTGTGAAAAAGGATAAAGAGTAAGGTTTGATTACATAAATAAAACGTGCAAAAGTTAATTAAACACTCAAAAAGTCATAAATTATTCTTAAACAATTCAGAAAGATTTACGCAAGCTTTTCTACTTTAATAAAAATACAAATGCTTAAAAAGACACGCAAAGAGAAGTCTGAAACAAAAACAATATTTTAAACAAAACAAAAAACACAAAAAAAAAAAAAAGATTATTATCACAGCAACTTATCAGAACAACGATTCGCAGAAAATCTTCACAATTACACTGTAGGATACATACCATTTGCTCTGTACTGTTGTTATCACTGACATCTACATCTACTCGTGATCTGTCTTGCGACTTACGTCTCCTCTCTGGTGGTAACGGTGGAGGTTTTTCGTGTTGCTCAACACAATTTTGAATACTATTTTCAAGGTTTCCTAGCACTCGCTGATTCGAAGCAGCAGTTTCGTTTCCTAAGTTCAAAGAATCCGAATGATTACTGTAAACATCAAGGCCGGAGAAAGGCGTACGTAAAGAAATTTCTTCTTTTTGATAATTATCACACTGAAAGTTCTTCTGAGAAACGCAGCTTGTACTACTTAGATCATCTGCCACTGTTTCTTTCAGATTGTTACCAGTGCTATTGTGGTATTGGTAAGCAGTTTTTGGTATCGATGCACTGATAGTGTTCCGACTAGTGGTACCAAATTTTTCAATTTGTTCCCGCTTCCTAAAATCAGTACATTCGGATGCATTATTGAGGTTTGAATTTTCAAGTGGAAAAGAACCATCAGGTTGTTTAGAAAATGTATCATCATGAAAAGAGTCCCTTTCATGAATTCCATGCATTCGATTGATGCTTGCTGAGACAGACGTGTCAGAATATTCAGAGACAGGAGTGTGACGAAAAGTATCCTGTGCATCACTTCGATTGACGCTTGTTGAAACAGGCATCTCAGAATATTCAGAGCGAGAAATGCCATTAAAAGAGTTTTTTGCATGTATTCCATGCATTCGATTGATGCTTGCTGAGACAGATGTTTCAGTACATTCAGGAACAGAAGTGCTATGAAAAGAACCCTTTGCATCACTTCGACTGATGCTTGTTGAAACAGGTGTCTCAGAAAATACTGAGACAGGAATGTCATGAAAAGAATCTTTTGCTGGTATTCCATGCATTCGATTGATACACATTGAAATAGGTGTGCTAGAAGTTTTAGAATAATTGTCCTCCTGCAGTTTTAACAAAATCTCATCATTACAAATCCCAGATCTCTTCGTTGTTCGTACAGAACAGTCATCTGCAATAGCAGGTTGTGCTAGTTCAGATCTATTCAAATCAGTCGCTGAATGATGCGACGGTCTTCTAAACATGGGATGCTGTGGAAGACCGATGTCTCCCTCAAAGTACGTCTCAGGTGGACGGAGAGGAATAGATTCGCTGACGGTTCGATTGAACTCATGGTTTGAAGGTGGTGGATTTTTTAATATGCCATTGAAATGCCGTCCATAGAGATTATGCGGCCTTTCTGGTGAATAATTGGCTTGCGATTTGTTATATGCAATTCTGTTGGATGTATCCAAATCACTGACTGAAACTCTTCTGATGGGTTGGTTTTCCTCCAAGTGTGGAGTTTGATTTCTGTAATGGTTTTCTAGGAAAGATCTATTGAAAGAACTGGCAGATAATCCTCGTTGTCTTCTCGTGGGTGAAGAGCCATCCTCGTGGTGAGGATGGTTCTTCACTGGGTGAGATAAGGTAGACTCAGAGACAGATCTGTTAAATTGGATAGGAGAGGGGGAAGGACAAGTTTCTCTGGAAGACTGCAGTAGCACATTCTCATACTCAGGACTCCTGGAAGGCAATGTCGGGACACGCGTACTCGTAGAAAGTCGATATCGCCAGTAAGGTTGAAAATTTTGCGTAAGAGGCGAAGTGTAGGAGCTTCCTTCTGAAGACAGACTAGAAGACACAGAGGAAAAATTTTCTTGCTGATTGCAATTATTGTCCCGATATTCTTGCTTCAGTTCAATATACTTGACATTCTGAAACAATACGACAAATTTAGACTTTTTGATTTCTTTAAAAAAATTCATATATTCATATATATAAAGGGTATCTGTATATATATTTCCGAATACAAGATGTCGGAACTCTGCTTATTTTAAAAAGAGAGGTATGTCTTAAAAACCTTTCGTAGAGCGAAATTCTACAAACAGACATTGATTCATTGACACTGATTGAGCAATTTAATAAACTATACAATATAGTTAATATATAAAGTAATTGCTCATATGATGCAAATTTTAAATTAAATTTAAATAAAATTACGTGTGACCAAAACAAATTTCCGCATTTAAAATCAATGTAATTTTCTAAGCGGATGATAAAAGCAATAAAATAATAAATGTTAGAAACATTATTAATTACATAAAACTTCATCTCTGATAAATATTTCTCACAGAAAGATGTTGATATTTTTTTTACATGCAAATGTCATTTACTAGTTTTTATGATGCTGAAAACAATTTCAAATACACTAGAATGCAAACCTTAAGCAACTTTTTCGATTTTGGCCATAATTTCGCAAAAAATCAACTGGAAGGCATAAAAATTGAAGAGTAGGTTTAGAGGCAACTTCTCCTTGATACGTCTGTCTCCTGCCTACTCAACAATTATTCATTTATGCATTTTTATAAATTTTTAGGATTAAAATTTTTTTTAATTATACATTTATTCATGGATTTTGATACTTGCACTTGATTTACATATTGTTACGTTATTTTTCTGACACCAGTTGTTACGTTATTTTCTTCCTTCACGTTCGTATGGGGGTTTGTGTGAATTTGGAGTGAATAACGATGATAGCACTTGATGGAATATCGAAACACACTTTATTTACCAATATTAATCAGGAAAGCTCCAAAACACTTTTACAGTCGTCGAAGATCTACTATAAACATGCTGGAACAATCAGCGACACAGCTTTCACACTGTCAGGCAATAACGGTGGAGGCAGCTTCACTGCAAGACACCGGAGTACAACTTCCGACTCTGCTCGGTCGTTCTCGGAACTAATTCCACATACTTTCGAGACTCTTGACGCTACAACTCGCGATGCACTCGACGACACACAGAGCACAGCTCCCGACTCTTCGGTTCAGTCGGTCCCGGAGCTTAACACACTCTCTCGACGATGCACTAACCGCGATACACTAAGAGACTCCTCGATGCACTCGACGATCAGCTCGGCGCTAGACTACGAGACACTCGCTCAATGACTATCATCTCGCTAGACGAGACACTCTGACTGCGGACCAGCAGGATTTATATAGCTTCCGGCTTGTGTTTGAAAACATTCTGGGTTAAACCGGTAAGAATTCGTTCCAGAAGATTCTCCATGCGTCCATGGCATGTCGCCAAATGTCAAATGGACGATTTCTCGCCAAAGGTGGCAACCTTGTCTTCCCTTGCCATTTTATGACAACCCTAAACCTGCTTTGCGTGGAAGCCATCTCACCGCGCCTTTACATTTCGTAACAATATGCTCTCAGAGTTTAAATGATACTGTAGATTAGTTCGCAGCAATAATTAATCATTTATTTGTTTGCTATTAAATTTCACTATTTAAAAATTTAATTAACTTTAAATTCGCTTTTCAAGAATGTTTATTTAAAATTTAACTTCACTATTATTTTGAAACAAATTCATACTATAGAAACACAATTACTTAAAGGAGTAAGTAAAGTACTTAAAAGATGAGGAAAGTACAGAAGCAAAAAATAAATAAATAAATAGGATGCATACAGTACGGAGCGAACAGAAAAACGCTTTACTGAGAGAATGGCGTTGGCACATAAGAGACTTACTAGGGGATATGATCTTCCCTAACTGCAATGGTTGGTTGCGTTGCACCCTCTGCTGATACTCAAAACTTTAAGGAGCATCTGTTTCAGTTGTCTGATGTTCTCCGGAGAGTAAAATGGTGTCGCCAGACATCTATCTAAATTATACCACACATATTCAAAGAGATTTAAACGAGGAAAGCATATTGGCCAATCCATTCTATGGATGTCTTCACTTTCCAGGAACTCCTCAATAGCATGATTCCTGTATGGCCGTGCCCTGTCATGCATAAAAACAAAGTAGAGACTAACGGTACCCCAGAAAAGACGCACAGGGAGGAGGTTAACTTCATGACAGTAACAAGCTCCGGTAAGTGAACCTCTGCCGAAAATGTGGAGCTCCGTCTGTCCGTTCATTATAATGCCTCCCCATACAAGCCACGGCCAACTGGCTATCCAGTTGGCCGTACTATTCACGAAGGTCACGTACAAGCACGCAAGTAGTACCCCAACGGTCTCTTTCCCTGGTGTACGAGGGATGAAATCGTCTCCCTACCACTCTTCAATCAACTGGCGTCGAGAATCGTTTGTACCACCGAAACGATTCTCATCGGTAAAGAGTACGTGACTCCATTGATGAAGTGTTCAGTCTTTTTGCTCTCTAAACTACTGTAAACGATGCTGACGTTAGCCACTGTCAAAGGCATGCAAAGTTCAGAACGGCGGGCGAGTTGGCCACCTTTATGAAGACGTCTGGCCACAGTAAATCGGGACACCTATCGTTCGGTTGCCATAGGCAAATACTTAACAGTGTTGCTCACTGTCTGGTTTCGATTTCTTTTCGCCTGCAGAGTATTATATGGTTATTCAGTCCCCGTTGTTGGTTTGGTTTCATCACAAACCTTTCTTACAGCTGTAGCTGTCGTTTGGAAGGCTTTTCAAGGTCTTGAAAAAAAACATTTTTATCAATTCCAAACTCTTGATCTACACGCCCCTCCGCAAGTTTGCCAATGATTCTACCACGTGTAAAGCGTTCTGATATTTTCTTGTAGCCATACTGCACCTACAATTTCACTGTCACTAGAAGAATAATGGTTGAAAATGAGCTTTCCTTTCTTGCTTTTAAGTTATCTTGCACTGCTTGCTCTGACTTCTCGCGTTTAACGTGCCCTGACATACTCTCTCACGTCAAAATTTTGCATACTAGTGTAGTATGAAACAGTAAGATATATAACCAAACCAGTTTTAGAATTTAAGCGAATATTCAAAACTTATGTTTTAACGATTTTAAATAATTTAGCATATTTTGGTCAAAAAAATTACGAGATGCCAGAGACGTCGCATATATGCTAATAATACCTGTTACTCTGCAGAAAAAGAAAGAAATTTACAGATCCTCCCAAAACAATCTGCAGCAGAGTTTTATTTTTAAATTGAAACTAGCTTTCATTCTTTCCATTAATTATCAGAAAATCAATTATATTGTACCTCATATTCTCCAACAGTGGCAACTGTATTTATGATGTCTTTAAATTTGACTCGGGCTTCAGCTGAAAGATAAAATTTGTAAATTGCACACATGGAGAAAAATGAAAAATCATACATCTCAAACTAACATTTATTTGCATTTTAGTTTTTTTAATAATCTTAAGCTCGTGATACTTCTGCATACATTACACATTAAAAAAAATACAATAATACAATTTTTATAAATTAAAATACAAGAAATATTTATTGAAATAACTTAAATAATGTACGGCTATATCATATAAAATTTCATATGATCTTTAGCTTCCATATCATTTTCCCTTAAAAAAAGAAAAAGAAAAACAGCCCAAGTATATATTTAGACTTCCTATTACCTGCACTATGGGTATACCCACCATAAAAGTATTTAAATAAAAATAAGGGCCGGATCTAAAAAAGTTCAAAATATTATGGAAAAAAAATCGTCATAAGAGTAGAAAGATAAATCTGGCAAAAGTAAAATCAAAGGCAAAACAGAAAATTTCTGAAAGACTAAATGTCGGTTAAAAGCAATTGTCAAGTTGTACTTGTACAGCGTTGCATCCGCTTAGGAAGAAAGCGGGATGCAAATATTGCCAGCAGCTTATTTTCTTTTTCTTTCGTTTCAGATTTTTTTTTTTTTTTTTTTTTTTTTTTTTAATGCTGGAGAAGTGAAAAATGAGCATTGCCTTCGGCAGGACTCGAACCTCGGACCTCTCGAATACGTGCCGAGTGTGCTACCGTTACACCATGAAGGCATACAGAAAGGAAGGAGAAAATACCTTACATACCCCTTCCTTTTACAGAGCGACTGGGGATTAGGGAACCCAGTCGCCAAATCCTGGTGGTGAAGAATCATCATCTACCACCTTTTAGTTCGGGCGCCACTGTATCAGGAATACATTTATTAATTATTCCGCCTGCTTCACCTCTCAATGGGCACTACAAGTCACTCATGTTATCCTGATCGCTGCACCAGCAGCTTTTCTTTGGTTGTTTACCTTTTCACTTACAATGTTTTGGGTATGTTAGTATAAAATTAGCAAAAAGGTTTAGTTAGTTTAGATATATTTACATATATACACGAATGGAGACTTACAGCCTCTACATTTCGTCAGGTGCCTAGACCTGGTTAATCTGCTATGATTATGTTACTCTTAGAATAGGCATACTCTATGATGGTTCTGACGCCCCACTGTCCGTAGTAATCTGAAATAAAAAATGAGCTGTGTCCTGATCGGAACTCGAACCTGGACTCCTCGAATACGCGCCGAGCACGAAGGCATGCAGAAAGGAGGGAGAGAATACCTTATTAACTGAAGTTGGCAGAAACTGAAACAGATTATCAATACTGCGACTTCAACTTGCTAACTTTTGAAGCAACACGAAGCTATAAGAAAACTATCAAAATTCTGGACAAATCTAAGCTGCATCATCTATAATTTAGTTGCGAAAAACATGTTCATACGCCATCACTTGCATTTAAACGATTTCTGGCTTCACAATTTATGTGCAAAAGTGATGAAAATCCGTCCCAATTCCATACTATTTCATACAAGTAAATTGCAGCAAATGGTAAAAGTTTCTACAATGCTGCTTTTATTATGTCCTTTTCACGTCAGAAGTGTTCTAAGCTCAATTTTTTCAAGTTCCATTTCATTACGTAGATTGGCTCATGTTTCAACAAAATCGTCTTTTAATTAAATCGTTATCCATCGAATTCAGCCAGACATAAATAGAAACAAATATTTTCCGTGATAAAGTATGTAATGTTGTGACCTATTTCAACTGCCTGACAATTCAATGTTACATCAAAACGTGTCCACGAAATTCATTGTGGCAAAGATTGCAAGACTGTGCCTGTCGTCGGCAACAGCCTTGAGCACCATACAGGTGACTGTACGACTTTGCTCAATTCCGTCCCCAGTTCTGAAGGAGAGCACCCCGTCGGGGGAGAGACAAGGGTCTCCCAATTCCTCTTTCCCTATCACCAAACTCTCGAGAGGATTTTCGGCTCGCCGCATATTTAGAGTGCCCCATGCCGCACAGACACCACACATTTACAAACATCCATGCCTTCTCCGGGATTCGAACCCGGGCCCTTCGGTACGGCAGTCAGCGTCGCTAACCACTATCCCATTTGGGAGGCTAAAGTATCCATGAAATGATGAAATAATTCACTCAATTGTTGGAAGTAGATTGCAGTTTCATATACAGGGGTTGGACAAAAATATGGAAACACCTTTAAAAAAACATGTTTCTTTGCTTAATATGGTGTAGGAAACCCGTTGGCATCCAAAACAGCTTGCAGTCTTCTCGGAATGGATAATACAGTTCCTGTATGTTTGCCAAGGGAATATTATACCATTCTTCCTGCAAAACGGTGCCAAGTTCAGATAACGATGTTGGCGGTGGATAACGAAAACGCACTTTCCGTTCCAATGTAGACCACAAAGGTTCGATAATATTCAGGTCTGGTGACTGTGGTGGCCAGGGAAGACGGGACAACTCATCCTCGTGCTCAGAAAACCAGTCCTGGACAATGTGAGCTGTGTGAACAGGGGCTTTGTCGTCTTGGAAGACACCATCACCATCGGGGAACAAAGTTTGTACCATGGGATGAACTTGATCGGCCAGAATGTTCACATAAGTCTTGGCAGTCATGTGCCCTGACACAGTTATCATGGGGCTAGCAGAGAACCACGATATGGCTGCCCAAACCATAACAGAACCCCCGCCATGTTTCACTCTTGGCAACAAGCAGTCTGTATTATAGGTTTGAGATGGCGTTCTCCAGACGTAAACTCGGCCAGAAGTGGGAAACAATGTGAAAGAAGACTCGTCAGACCATATTACTCGCTTCCACTGCTCTATAGTCCAAGCCTTTATGACTTAAACACCACCTTTTCCTGTTACGGGCATTAGCATCACTGATGAGTGGCTTCTCAATTGCAGCACGGCCAGCAATTCCCTGTTTATGAAGCTCCCTTCTAATTGTTTTGGTACTCACAGGGTTCGGTAACACAATATTCATTTCAGCAGTAACTTTTGCAGCTGTGGTCTTCTTATTTTTCGTCACAATTGCCCTTAATGATCGTCTGTCACGATCACTCAGGACACACTTTCGTCCGCGCTGTGATTTAGCAGATGATGTTTTTCCGCTTTTCAAATATGCGGAATAAATCTTCGATACAGTACCTCTTGAAACACTAAACACCTCGGCTACCTTGCTTACGGAAGCACCTTCCGTACGTGCTCCAACAATTTACCCACGTTCGAAGTCTGTTAACTCTGACATAATGCAATGACAACCTCACATAACAGTACTCCGACAACAACTGAACTGTTTAGCACATTTACGAAGGTGGCGTCAGTAGTCAAAAACGCTAGCGCCACCTACATATTTCATTAAAATCAATCTTTCTTTTCAAACATGCATTTCACAAGGTGTTTCCATATTTTTGTCCATCCACTGTATGTTCGTTCTCATTTTCAAAAAAGACTAAACCATGCAAAGAAAAGTCAGAAAACTCTTATTTTCAGTTCGACTTCTCCTCATTTTTAGCTTTTCAATAAATGAATGTTGTTATTATGTGCTTATTAATCCTTGCACTTATGAGTTTAATTCATTCAGGTCGTTATATTTGCTAAGCAAAGTTATAGGTAGTAGCAGACAAGACAAGAGAATTTCGCCATAGGTCGAACAGGAATAGTCCTAGTGCACTAACAATGCAGTTCCGCCCCAGTTTTGATGGAGAACATTCCGGGGTACGGATATGAGATCTTACTACTCTTTCCGTACCACCAAACGATTCAAGAAGACTTTTGGCTTTAAGAACATTAGTATTTGAAGAGCCCTAGGTCGCAAAGTAAGTCGCATTTACGTATTTATGACGTCTCAGTGATTCGAAATCAAACCCAACAATAGTGTGTGTGTATATATATATTTCTAAATTATTTCTAGATAATATTTCTAAACTGTTTCTAAATTAAACGAGTTCATCAGCTTTCTCAGAGGGGGGAAGACTCATTCCTCAAAAAAAGAGTAAAAAAATATACCTACCGGAAAGGTTAAACATCACAAAATTACACGATATGTACAAAACGAATAATCTGAACAATTCACTGTCGTATGATTAATTCAAAGATAATTTTAATTCCAAGTTTAAGATGGGATTCGGTTACCTAAGAAAGGTCACTTGTAGTCTTGTGATACATTATAAGCAGATATTGATAAGTTTGCCAAAAAAAATCAGAAAAACTTACTGAGAGACGAGAAAAGGAAAAACTAATTTATGGACCTGAGAAACAATATTTTGGAAATAGAACTTCATTTCGAGGAAAACGAATTATACAGCGAAGAAGCTTTGTGTTCTCAACATAAACTGGGGAAAAAGAATTAGTCTCCTTGAAAAAAAAAGGGGGGGACTGAAAATATGCATTTCTTTCCTATTTCGCACATTTTTTTTTAATAATACAAATTTCGCTAAATAAAGGTTGAAAGCTTATTACACATTTTTTTCTATGCTTTTATAACAGTATTTTCTGCACTAAAGTTATACAAACTAGAAATTTATTTTTCTCAAAATTCCTGTCAACGGACATAAATGGTTTTCCCTCCGAGTTTCCAATTAATAAAATCATTTTTAGTCCACAGGGGTAATTTACTCTGAAGGCTTATTAATTTCGTTTTGGCATTTGGCGTTGGTTTACTATAAATGTCGGTTCACTTTTCAAATTGTTGCCACCAAATAGTATCGCCTTGTCTTATATTTAAAGAAATTAAATAATGAAGAATCTGCATAAACGTATGTATGTCTCGCATTGTGATAAAACAACGGTACCTATAACCATCAATTTTTGAATAACATAATCTTCTACCGAATATGGTTATGTGGAAGCTCAAATTTGGAATATGAAATTTGACCGATTTCATATTTTGTAACACTTTGACGAATTGTTGATTAACAAACTTAACGATTTCAAAGCGAGCAATGACAACACTGTATGAAGAGGGGGGAGACATTTTTATCTCCAGCGCGGG